TCCCTTTTTATTTTTCGTCCATAGCCTTTCATATTACCACCTAAAATAAGATAGTTAGGGAAGACTTCACAGCGGATAGCTTTTGAGTAAAGGCCTGATTCAGGAACAGTGAAATAACTCAGAAGACAAGAATTTCCAGCACAGGGAGAGGCAAGTGCCAAGGCCCTGAGGCAAAAGGTTGCCTCCTGCATTTGAAGAACATTAAAGGTCTCTGATTCACAGAGTTGGTAGGGACATGAAGAGAGGATAGTAGGTTAGGAAGGAGTACAAATGGTATGGGGCCTTATAGGTGATTTAAATGAAGAGTGAAACTCAGAGCTATTAACATGCCCTCAACAGAGGAATATAATCTGTTTTTAAGTTATACTTTGGGGCCTCCCTGGTGGCTTAAGGGTTAAGTGTCAGCACAATCGCCACTGTGGCCTGAGTTCAATCCCCAGCTAGGGAGCTGACCCACATGGCACAGCAGACCTCTCCTGTCTCCCCTTAGCAATGTATTCCAGTAAGTCTGCTCGTTCCACTCCCTACTTTGTCTCTGGTGAATCCTCTCACCCACACTTTCCCTCCTCACCCGCACTTCTGGCCTACACCCCAGTTCTACACAAAAATGAATAAAATATTTTTTAAAAAGTAAAGTGTACTTTGAACACTGTGGGAAATCAGAGAAAAGGATGAGAGAAGACTAGAGAGACCAGTTCAGAAAACTTCCTATGTATTTCTGGCTAGAGATGATAATGGCCCAGACCAAAACGGGAAGGTAGATTCACCTGGTTAATTCCCATATTACCTACTAAAGGCCACAGACCTAGTGTGTGGCTGGCTGAGCCTGAATTCAAACCCTCATCCTTGTACCTCCAAAAATATCTTTTTTCCTCCCAATACTGCCCATCTCGCTCTTATACAAATACCTCTCCTAAGCTGTGCTAACTACATCAGCACTGATGTGCTCCTTACCCAAAAAATGCCTTTAGTATATGCCAACTTAATTTAAGAAGTAGGCGTTGAACTGCAGTTCCCTGGCCTGTTTCTTTCCACTTCCCCTAAATCCTGCCAACCGAGATGACTCAAAACAGCATCCCAACCGATCTCAGTCTTGCAGCCCTGCCCTTTCTCATCTGTTGTCCATGCGATGGCTAGGGCAATCTAAAATGCAAAATTAATCACTCCCTACACGAACACCTCAGTTTGTTTCTCCTCACTTTTAAGGATGAAGACAAATTTTTAAAAATATTTAGTTATTTAGGCCCTCCCTGGTGGCGCAGCGGGTTAAAGCGCAGCACTGAGAATCTAAAGCCTCTTCCGCACGAGTTCGATCCCCGCCTGCCCTGGAGGTGACCACAGGGCGCGGCAGACCTCTCCTGACCCGCCCGCTGCTCCCCTCAGCAGTGCACTTTGTCGATCTGCCTGTTCTGCTCCCCGCTCTGTCTCTGGTGAAGCCTCTCGCCGCCCCTGAGCCTCTGGCCTGTACCCCAGTTCTGTATGCACAAATAAATCCTTAAAAAAAAATTTAGTTATTTATGCAGACAGAACTGGGGTACAGGCCAGAGGTGCAGGGGCAGTGAGAGGGTTCACCAGAGACAGTGTGGAACAGAACAGGCAGATTGACTAAAGTGCACTCTTGAGAAGAGCAGCGGGCGGGTCAGGAGAGGTCTGCTGCACCATACGGGACAAAGCAGCTGCAGCTAGCTTCCTAGTTCTGTGCTTTAACCCATTGCACCACCAAAGAGGGCCTGAAGCTAAATTTATTAACAACTACCTCTGTGGTCCCCCTCATATTCACCAGCACCCTTTTCCTACCACTCACCTCTTTCTGTGACCCAGCCATGCTGAAAAAATATTGAGTTTCCCTCTTTATACTAAGCTCTTTCCCAGCTCAAGGCCTTTTCACAATCTGCTTCCATGGAGCATTCTACTGGCCCCCTCCCTCTCCATGAACTCTAGCTTATGCCTCAGACCTCAGACTAGAAGTCACCTCCACCTGAATAGAAAGTTCTACTTGATTCCCCCAGCCCAACTTACATGTTCTCCACGACATCTATCCTAGCTTAGAACATATTATAAACATCCCATTATAAACCTGCCACACCACTACATGGGAGCTAAGTTCTTGGTCTCCAAAGCTCAGCCTACCTGCCTAAGTATTCATAGGGAAGTCACTTGACTTCTCTGTGTCTGTTTCTTTCTCTGTAAAATGCTGTGATCAGAACACTGTATGCCTCATGGGGTAGGTTGTAATGTTCATGAAGTACTTAGAATACTGTCTGGCAAAGTGAACACTTCATAAATGCTAGTTATTATTTGCCTCTTTTCTAAAATGAACTATAAGCTCTTTGAGTACATAAGACATTTCTTCTCCAGTCTTTACCCTGCACACTCGGCAGCTAGAATGCTCTTTCTGGTATACGAATATAATTATGTCATTCTTCTGTTCTAAGAAGGGAGTTTCATGGTTTACCACTATGTTACAATCCTTTTGTTAGCATAGCAGCTGCTTCTAGATATGAACTATGCCAACTTGTTCAGCTTCACTTATATCCCCACTCCCTCACATAATCTGAAATTATAACCAAGAGTTTCCAAAGATCTCTTGCTGGGATGATTCAATACATACGTTGCCTTGGATAAATCATTTATTGCAAATGAGCTTCAGTTCCTTCATCTTAAAGGTGTAACTCAGAGGAAGGTGGCAGTGAGGCTTAATATATTTCAGTGCACAAAAATATCTGTTTAATAAGGCACTGCACAGATTTAAAAACATTTTATACATAGCAAAAACAAGTGCCTAATGATAATGTTTACTTTTATAATAATGATGTTAATGCTAATATAACAGACTGATATCTTGTCTAAGAAACAAATGGTAAGTTTTGTACTACAAGAAAATACAAGGGGGGGTTCACTTATGAATTTACTTCCATAGTCGGTTATTTAACAAATATTTGAGGGCAATTACCAGGTGACAGTTTCTGAGGTTGTCAGAATTTTGAGCGACCCAAGTAGGCAACTCTGGATTTCATTAATTCTGATATGAAGCAGCCGTTTCTTAGAGGTGCTTTGGCTCAGGAAGCGGAACATATAAATCTGCTGACTGTGCATTTTCAACAAAAAGTAAACCAGCCTGGGCATTTTCTTGGGCATGTTACATACCTGGATAGTGAATAAGCCACAACGAGCATAAAAGCCAGCCTATTAGAAGCAAACCTACCCTTTATGTGTAAGGAGAGCAGGCCTGTTCAGAAGCCATATGTTTCAGCAAGCAAGGCAATTCTGCATTCATCACAGCCTGGAGGGCCCCTGTGATCTCTTTGCGTTTCTATACTTAGTCAACCAGTACCAGAAAAAGGAAGCATGATTTCTAAGGACGTGGCCACAAAATAGGTAGCTCTATCTGAAGAAAATTGGGGTAACAAAATCTCTGGCCATCATCAATAAGCTAGGAGAGAATGGAACAGTCAATCCAAAGGCATCACAATTTGTACATCTGGCCTAAGGACATCTGTGTAGTAAAAAGGGGCCTCCCCGGTGGCAAAAGGGGTTAAGCCTCAGCACTGTGAAGCAATCAGCAGCCACTGCAGCACAAGTTCAATCCCCAACCAAGGGCCTAACCCACATTGTTCAGCAGACCTCCCCTGTCTTGCCCACTGTTCCCCTCCGCAGTGTAGTTCAGTTAATCTGCCTGTCTCCCCACTGTCTCTGGCCTCCACCCTAGCTCTTGTGTGCATAAATAAATAAGTAAACTAAAAAATAAGTAAAATTGGATACATGTTTTGAACAAGTTATTTAAAATTCCAGTTCTACCAAAATATGATCCTTATATGTTATTGAAAGAAAGAAATGAAATAAAGCAAGGCAGGTGGTATAGTTCCAGGTGTGCAGCATCATGGTTGCTGTTAGTCCTCTTGCATAAACTTAACAGAATTCTGGGCACATGATAAGATCTCTCTCCCTCAACAATTCTGTTGTTGGTGATGGTGATGGTAACAAAAGCAAACATTTATCTAGCACTCACTACCTCCCTAGTGATTTTGTATCTGTTAACGTATTTAATCAATAACTGTGGGAGGTAGGTACTATTGTTATCCTCATTTTAGAGATGAAGAAAATGATCGAAGTGGCCAAAAATTAGTGTGGAACACAGACCACGGTGAGATAGCAAGCGTTCATGGCTCTTGTACTTATTGTTTCCAGTCGCCACTTATTTGCCAAATTTGTATTTATTCCCAATCCAACACAAAAACCAACTTTTCTAAATCCCCCAGAAGAAGTTAACTTCAATTACTCATTTTCCTGTTTGATTTTCTCTTGAATGTGTTCTTCGAGAGTAGAAATTTATTTTACTCATTTTAAATGCCATCTTTGCTGATGCTCTGCAGTACAGCATATTCTGTAGTCAGTGGGGCATAGACACTATGCCAATAGTGAAGAAAATGCCCTAATTAATCTTTTATATGAAAGATTTCACTTTACTTGGGGATTAAAGTACTTCATCCCGGCCCTCCCTGGTGGCGCAGCTGGTTAAAGCGCAGCACTGAGAAGCTAAAGCCGCTTCCGCATGAGTTCGATCCCCGCCTGCCCCGGAGGTGACCCACATGGTGCGCAGACCTCTCCTGACACGCACGCTGCTCTGCCTGTTCTGCTCCCCACTCTGTCTCTGGTGAAGCCTCTCGCTGCCCCTGAGCCTCTGGCCTGTACCCCAGTTCTGTATGCACAAATAAATAAATCTTAAAAAAAAAAAAAAGTACATCATCCATCCCTTATTTTATTGGAAATGGTAGTGTTTTCTAAAGTCCATAGTAAGTGAAATAAAAAGTTGTAACTTTGTCAGCTCCTGAACGTATTTTGAGCACCTTTGTGGCTTATAAAGTGAAATATTCTTAACCGACATGTCCTTTTCTGTCTTTTATTACAAAAAAAATCTCGTACAGTAATTTCAATAGGAGGACTACATTTCCCATGATGCCCCAAGTCCGGAAGGAAGTCAGCCGCGACACTTCCCGTGATGCTTAGAGACCGGAAGCAGGGGCCCTAGTTCTTTTTCCCATCTTGCGAGGTAAGAATGGCGGCCGTCTCTGCGAGACGCGATCTCGAGCCCCTAATCCTCCGCCATCCGAACTAGGAAGATGGCAAATCGGCATTCGCGGGGGTCGGACATGCTCGGGGCCATCTGGAAGGCCGCCTAGCAGCTTCATTTCTTTCGCTTGGGTTTGCGGCGGGGCAGAAGATGGCGAGGTGGAGTGCCACAGCGGCTCGTCAGCCCCTGGCCGCGGCGACCAGGGCGCGCCGGGGACCTCGCGGGCCTGCGGGGCCGGGGCAG